TTGAAGCAGTGACATTTAAGGCAAATGTTTTTATTCTAGCAAAATGTGAAATCATATTTTCTTTATCTTGGAAATAGAAGTAAAAAATAAAATAGAGAGAGACACAACTGATGTGGGTTGGGTGCATTATTTTCCACATGAGCAATATTGGGTGTCTAATGAGTAAATCTGCTGCTGGTTATCAGTTTTAAATGCATGTTTGTGTAATATAATGTGATACAGGCAAAGTTAACTTGCCACTGTGGAGCAGGGATGTGGCTGAGGGGGGCTTAAATTCAACTGGCCCTGTCAATGAAAACAAGGGTAGAAATGAACTTTTTTGGTATAAATGCACCTTTGTAAGCATATTTATAAAAAAAAAAAAACCCCAAAAACTTTATTTGATGATTTTGATTTTTATGATATGAGAAATGAAAACAAATTGCTGTAAAAATAAAAATCTTACGACATAATTTTACAGTATTTCAAAAAATACAGTAATAATCTGTAAACAGCAATGCATTCTGGGAGCTTGGATAAAGTCTATACTGTAAAATTCCATATTTACAGATTTAAAATAGTCGTGAGAATTTTCAGCAATGCGTGGAGGGATTTCTAGTGGTGGTAAGTGACTTATTTAGTTCATTTGTTATTTTAATATTTCACTCTTTGTGTTTAGCAGCTTTAAATTCGACATTTTTGAAAGTAATGTTATATCACCGCTCATTGTCTGCTAACAAGTTTAAGATTAGCTTGATTGTTGCTGATGTAATCATAAGTGAATACAGAGGAGCTGTTGGCACTGATACACAAATCAGGAATTTAGTTTATGGTTAAATTAATAAAAGTTGATGTGCTCAGCAAGTAATACTAAACCTTTTCATTATATTTATTTTAACAGCATCTTTAGGTTTTTACATAATTGTCCTGTAAAACAAATACAGCATCATCCTGTAAAAAAAAAAACTACAGGGCAGGCAACCCTGCCAATATTTTTACTCTAAATTTTACATGGTTTGTCTTACAGTGTTCATTAAGTCTTTTACTCTGCAAAGAGGAACTTAAAAAAAAGATGAGTGCACAGATTTTTTTTTATTTCGCCAACTCAGTACAATAAACCATATTTCTGATTAAAACCAGACAGAATTTTCTTGTCTTGTCCTGCAAAGCACAACATTTTTGATAGGATTTTCTCATTTCCCATGTGCCCACCCATGTGCCCTCCCTCTTGTGTCACCCCATTAAAAAAAAGGGTCTGCCCAACTTCTTCTCCTCCTGCAATCCAAAAAGGAAGCTTTCCACGAACACCCCAACCCAATCCAGACCTTTTCTATATACTGGGTAAAATTAATTTGCAGTCCCCAGCTCCTGTCGTGTGCTGAGTCATCACAAGCTATCCAAAAATAAATAGTTGAAAGCACTGCGTGACTACCTATCAGAGCCTCCACTGACCACCCCATTCTTTTTAGTTGTTATTTTAATATGCTTTAAACCAGCGGTCCCCAACCTTTTTTGCGCCACGGACCAGTTTATGCCCGACAATATTTTCACGGACCGGCCTTTAAGGTGTCGCGGATAAATACAACAAAATAAAACTAGTACCGGTATCGA